TTTATTCTGCTGGAAATTCTTCGTTCCGCAGACACCGTAGAAACGTCGCTTTCGCGATGAAAATGATGATTTATCAGCGGAGTGTCCAAGGACAAATCAAATATCTGGAGTGTCGCAACGTGAAACGTTTGATTGGCTTCTAGTCGAATTTCGAGTCGGCAACAAGACGTCGGGCCAGGGAAACGGAGAAAGAAACTCCTCTCCGTCATTAATCAAAGAAGTTTATTAGCAGGGAACGTTTGACATTTCCTTTGATAGTGAATTCCTTGATCATAATGTGATCAATAATTCGGGGGAATAATTCTCAATCTGCAAGGAGATGGTAAAGTTTAGAAGAAAAGATTGAAGTTCATTAGAGATCTGTTGAGTGGCTGGAGCAGGTATTGATTGAATTACCGACAGCCGGCTCTTTGGATTTATGATTCTATAGAAGAATAATTTCTTGCAGAGACTGTGAAATGTCTCGTTCGGATTGCATCTTTCAAATATTTCAAGTTCGTTAAGTAATCGTTAGGTTTTGTAAACTTTTTATTTTACTAATTTATTCTTATCATTTTCTCTTAAAAAGAACAAAAAAGAAGAAAAAAAAGCAGAAATCTTAGCAACATTTTTATCGTATAGATACATTATAACATAGGTATTGCAATTTATTTAACTCTGTAGTATTTAATATTTAATATTTAACTCTGTAATTTATTAAATCTATAATAGAGATATTGGTTGTTCTACATCTATTATAAATTGGTATTTTAATTTATTTAACGCTGCTCGCTTGTTGTCACTCGTGGCAACTGTATTGCTCTAGCGTCGGAAAATGTCTCTTGTTTGTACAAAGCATGAAACAAAGCATTGCTGTTGGTATGCATAACATTTCATTATGTCAACTAAATTAAAAAGCTTTCGCCTTCAAGCTTGTCAAAACGAGAACAAAATTGACATGTAAAAATTCGAGAATTATTGAAGGGTTGACAAATAAATTAAAAAGCCGGTTTGCTTGTTAAAAGCGAGAGCAAGATTGACACATAAAAATTACAGGGGGATTAAAACAGTAATCAATGGTAAAATTATATATGGTAACATCATACAACTTCCTGTTCCATTTCATTAAATATTATTTCTCAATTTCCTTCGAGTTTATAAACTTCTATTTTACGCAATTAATTTCTAGCAACTTTCTAATTTGAAGGAATTTGAAAATTTCTTTCTGTGCAATTTCTGCAACATGTCGAAAAGAAACAATTTCAGCGAGAATGAATCCTCATCGAGGGCTCGAACGTATCGAATGTAATCAAAATAGTGGTAGCCTTTTATTTCGACTTTCATTCCCTCCGACATATCGAAATTGAACTCGATACGACGAGAAAGGAGCCTCGTTGAAATTTGCCTCAGTGAATATGATTTTTTATCGGATGTTAGCCATTTAATTCGTTTGCTTACCTCCTTTTTAACGTATCCAGAGATAACTCGTATCCCTACGAATAATGTAACCTTTATCGAATAAAAAAAGAAAAAAAAAAAAATAGTAACAAACGAGCGCGATCAATTTCAAGTTGATCACGATAATTTATCAGTGAATTTCTACCTTTCTCCCTTCGATCGTTATGTTTCCTTAATACATGTGACTCGTATATCTTGGAAGATATCTAGATGGTCTCTTAAATGATGGATTTCAAATTGTTATTTTAATTGAGACTAGTATTGGGGATTTTTTGCATTCGATTGTTCGAAACGATGATCATTCGAATTTCGATCAATTGAATTATGTGTGTATGATTTAAACTATGTGTCGAGTAAGGTTTTGGGACATGTGTCCTTGCCTAAAATGCCTGTTTAATGCCTCGTCTAACAGTAAGTGACACTGCTTACGTACAGATTTCATTTATACCATAAATATTAAAAGAAAAAGAATGGTACTGAAATTAAAAGAAAAATTAAACGTGATCGAATACGTATAAAAAAAAGGCAAAAATATGTTTGATTTAACGATAGAATATAATGTTAGAAAATGGACAATTAGCTGACCTTTCGTTTTCAAGATTCTCTATTTGTTTTTATTTGGAACTTCGTTTTATTCGGTCTCTTTAAGAAAACAGAAATCGATCTTAAGCTTACGTATTTAGCTCGTCTATAAAAACAAACATTGATGTTTTTTTTGACTGAAGCTTCAATGGTAAGCTTTAATGGCCAAATGAATGTACAAGTTCCTCGTGAAAATAGAGTTTTAGATTTAATCGTAAGCTTCCAAAATTAAACATTTACTCAACTAATCTATTAGAACTTTGGATTTAATCTTCAATAGTAATAAATTAGAAGGTATTAAAAAAAGATATTTTACAAAATCTATCATATTTTACAAAATAAAATTAGAATTGATAAGAACATGGAAAAATATAAAACATAATTTACCATTTTTTTCATATAACATAATTACTATATGGTAATAATTATTAAATAATATGGTATTAATGTAATGATTTTCATCCAATAACATAAAATACCATTCAGCATTCATTGCTCCAATAAAAAATTATATATATTAACAATAAATAAGGTGTATAACTAGTTATGTTAATTAATTACGAGAGTTATTGTAAATACATGTGAACGAACAAATGTTTCCAAAATGTCTAAAATAAAATTTCTTGATTCATTTATACATACACAAGTATTATATTAACTCTAAACAGTTTCCTGAACTCTTCCCATTTTGACTTCTTAATTGTTCACTTTTATAGGAAACTTATTGTCATCAAACTTGATATTATCAACAAGGGTCAAGAATTAATATTTTAAGAAAACTTGTTTTTATTAAGACTTATTTTTAGCAAGATTAGATTAGATTAGATTAGATTAGATTAGATTAGAACCGTATCATTTGCCACATTAATTTCACAAGACAAGAGATAGAAAAATTTCTAAATACTCTTTTTCTACATTCATAATTAAACCACATAAAATAGTGTATTATTAGAATAATCATTTTCACTTTTAAAATAAATCGTTTATTATTTCTGTCATTCATACATTTCTGTATGTTGACCGTATGCCGTTTGTTGACCGTATGCCGTTTGCGAGGATAAAATTGGAAAATTGGAGAGCAAAGAAACGATCGTCCAATATTTATCCTTTACAAGCAACTTCCTTGCAACTTGCTTGGCACAATTCATCGGTTGGGACGTTGGTAATGAAGCAACATTCGTTCGAATATTCCGTTCATTGAAACGGAAAATACTAAACAAGGATCTTATTTTTATTATCATTGAGTATTTTTTTCTTTTTCTTTTTTCATTTATTTGTGGAAGCAACGTAGTCAGGTAATGTTAAGCGAGAGGAAAGTGAAAGTAAAGTGAAATTTAATTATTCGTCGTAGACTATGGCGTGTGAATTACGATATGCAAGAAATATAGAAATAAAATAATAAAGAAATTATTTTCTAAAAAGGAAGTTGTTGGTGCTGGAATTGTTCGATTTTATTACGAATAACTTCAAATGATGAGGTTAAAATTATTAAAAAATTGAATTAAAATTACTAACAGAAATTAGAAATTAAAATATTGTGTAAAGTAGAAATAAAATAACAACTCCGATAATATTAAATATCCTGATCACTTTAATAGAACTACTTCTCTCAATAAAATTATTTTCCTATTTGTTAAAATGAATTTTCGGATCGATGGAAAAATAAATGTCGATCTGATAACCGAGATTATCATTCTTTTCTATTTTTACAATATTATTTAAATGAAACAAAAATATCAAGTGAGAACCAGAAATACATATTTTATACACTTTTTCCTAACCAAATTTTATTATCTTATCACTTAGAGCTTTCGATATTTAAGCAGAATGGCAGTGATAATCTACATTGTGCAATAAGTAAATTATTATAATAAAAAATCTAATCAATCTTCCTATATCTTACAATATTAAGTAACTATACTTTACCTGAAAATTAACTTTTTCGAAAATCGAATATTAATATCAAATTAATGGGATATTAGGTTTCATTACATGTTAACTGTATTTGATGATAACAGTGAACGATCATTCATTTGAAAGTCACTGAAAATACGTAAAAGCGCGTGACGAAGATACAGAAATTTGAAAAATTTTCTAAAATAAAGAAACGAAAATATAACTGTTATTGATGAATTTATTGCGATAAAATATTTATGAATGATAATTTCATTTTAATAATCGTAATCTTTCTTCCGATTAGCTATATTTTCCTGTACTTAGTAACATTTTTCTATCATATTGCTATTTCACGATAAGATATCAGGAAGTATTTTGCAGAGTGATGCAATGTTGTTGCACTCAATCGACATGCATCTTTGTATAATAGAATACGAAGTACAAATTAGAAACTATCATCCTACTTCGAAGAAATAGTTTCCGTACTTAATAAAATGTCAATCGATATTAGTTGACAGTTAATCAACGAGAGGGGAAGAAACTAGTCGATACTAACCAATATTAATTTTCAATTAACAAGTCACCGTAGAAAATGAGCTTCCTTCTTCCATTATTATATGCATGATGTTTTACTTTCGAAACCAAGTTTGTAACTTCTTGAGATCTATCGTCATAATTTCAAACATAATTACTTACAGTTCTGATTGCAACTCGTTTAAACGTGAACTCAAATAATCTTTTCAAGTTGCTTTAATGAAAGAATTATAGAAAAAATATCATATATAAAATAATAATGATGTGAAAAAAATTTTCCTGTCCAATTTTTTCATTTTCCATATCAATGTCAATTGCTAGTAAATCGTCGAACAATTTATGCAGACAGCGCGTGGCTCTAAACGAGCCTTAACCCTCCATCGGCCAACGTTGACCCAATCGCTGTGACCTAACGCAGCGTAATCATAAAAATCGGTACGTGTGTGCACATCATTGTTCATAATCCGTTCTTCGCGAGTTAATCAGATCGTTAAGTCACAATCCCCACCCATGCTCACTGTAATAAGTCAGGAGACACGGTCTTATTTAATACAACAGTGACAGGGAGTTAACGGCTCAGTTAGAACCGTGACTGGTAGAAAGTTACTTCATTTGAGGATGGCGTGTGAGAATACCGTGATACGGGTGAAGCAGGGCCGATTGCGTGGCATTATCGAGAAGACCAGCTACGGTGACGAGTATTTGGCGTTTCGTGGTATCCCGTACGCGAAACCACCGCTAGGCCCCCTTCGATTCAAGGTGAATTTCATTACACTCGAAGCCAATTACCACGAAGTTCTAAGAATTGTAACTCTCTCATCTCTCGTCGTACTTTTCCTTCATTTGTCCATGAAAAAAAAGAATCAGTAACAACGTTGATAAATTTGCAAAACGAGTATAAACTCCATTTTTGTATATTAGATAGACGTGAACGTTTCGTGTCCCGAATCGAAAGTTTAAGGAGAGTTTAGTTGGAAAATTTGGATAAAATTTTATAGGAGGTTTTATGGAAACATTTGTTTTTTTCTTTGGATAAAATTTTTACGCGAATCTACCTTCGATTTAAAGTGAATTTCAAGATTTCATTACACTCGAAGCCAATTACCACGAAGTTCTAAGAATTGTAAGTCTCTCATCTCTCGTCGTATTTTTCCTTCATTTGTCCATGAAAAAAAAAGAATCAGTAATAACGTTTATAAATTTGCAAAACGAGTATAAACTCCATTTTTGTATATTAGATAGACGTGAACGTTTCGTGTCCCGAATCGAAAGTTTAAGGAGAGTTTCGTTGGAAAATTTGGATAAAATTTTATAGGAGGTTTTATGGAAACATTTGTTTTTTTCTTTGGATAAAATTTTTACGCGAATCTACCTTCGATTTAAAGTGAATTTCAAGATTTCATTACACTCGAAGCCAATTACCACGAAGTTCTAAGAATTGTAAGTCTCTCATCTCTCGTCGTATTTTTCCTTCATTTGTCCATGAAAAAAAAAGAATCAGTAATAACGTTTATAAATTTGCAAAACGAGTATAAACTCCATTTTTGTATATTAGATAGACGTGGACGTTTCGTGTCTCGAAAGTTTAAGGAGAGTTTAGTTGGAAAATTTGGATAAAATTTTATAGGAGATTTTATGGAAACATTTGTTTTTTTCTTTGGATAAAATTTGTACGCAATGCCACCGCTAACGACTGAGTAGAGTCGAAACAATCCGACCGTGAAGTTCCATTACGTCCCTATAATCATTGTTGTGACAATACAGAATCATGATTCGTTTTATTCCTCTTCTATTTGATAGAAAATCGCAAAAATTAATTGTGAATGTTTCATGTTTTTTGATTCGATGGAAAAAAATGTAATATTTAGATAAAGAAAAGATAGGAATTCTTTTGGACTCTACAAGTCCAGATTTACTTATGATGATAATCTTGTTCAAGAGTATTAGAACACTTTTCATACATTATGCGGATTTTCATGCATTCACGGGAAACTGAAAGATGCAAAAATGCATGGAATGCATATAATACGCAAGGATATATAAAACATTCAAAATAGAATATTCATTATGATATTTAGTACATGAAACAAATTTCTGTTTAGCTCTCATTTCTTTAGTAATGTTCGTTGAAATTTAAAAATGCACAAAAATCCACAGTCTATTATTTATCAGTATTAGATAACAGAATTTTTATAATACATCGAATTTTATAATGCAATTATCAATGTGTCAACACTTTATGAATTGTTTATTATACAGAGTTAGATTATTATTTAATTTTCTCAATTTTGAAACAGATATAGCGCTTGCTCTAAGATTTCTGATAGGGTGTCTCATGTTTTTTCCACGAAACTTTGTCAACTTTATTCTATGATGAAAGAAAAGAAATAGGCTTTTAAATGCTTTATCAAAAACAAAAATTCAAAATTACTATTACCATTATTAAAACAGATATCAGTATTTTCAAAGCTATTATCTTATCTGTCGAGAAATCATTGTTTGTTGAAATCAAAAATTAATAAAATAATTCAATTAGACGATAATATATAACTGGATAAGATATAATTTATCAAATTATTAAGATATCAGATTAGATTGATAACGAAGGAATATTTGGAAAAACATGTTAAAATAATGTAATGATGGAAATATGGTAATAATTAAATTGGTCGATATATTAATATGCCGATCAATGGAATGGAACTAATTTTGGTCGCTAATACAGTGACACAAGCACTGCTATTACCATACTCTGCACATAGACAATTCGGGATAATAGAACAAGTAAAGGCACGTATCATTTTCAATAGGTCACATCAGTGGTCAGGGTTAAGTTTTGCGTAGATAGGCTAGATCATGGTTTATCTGACGTTAACGCGACGTTAAATTTACGATTAAATGTATTGACGTTTAATTTTACTTTGAAATTGATCAAATTATATAATAATGAAACAAAGTATGAATATTTCTATCGACCACGAAATTTAAAATTTCATATAACATTTCTATCGACAACGAAGTTTTCAATAAGGGGATATAAATATTAATTGCTTTAGATATGTGTGTAGCCGTTAGGTAAGAAATACAAAATACATATTGAACGATAATTGATTAATATTGAACATAATTAATTAGTAATTGAAGTATCTACTTATAAATATTACAGTAAGATCTTATAAATTATGTATTATTGTCCGCAGCTTCAAAAACAATATGCAAAAATGTGCACGAGTAAATATTCTTCCATCAGATCCCACAGCAATGAACAAATTTAGATTAACAAATTTCCTTATTAATCTATTGTCTCGGCTTAACAGGGTCATTCTACTCGGACCCTTCGCCAAAGAAATTATTAAACTAATTACCAAAGGAACCCCTTTAACTGACTCTAAATCCGGCGACCGACACTAAATCCTGAGTATGCCGCAAACACAGCAGCTCATTCTTATTACAACGTCTTTTATTTTCAAGATGAGATGATACACGCACCTTGAGAATATTTTTCTTTGAATTCATTAATTTTTCAGCAGTATATTATCAATACATTTTACTGATGTATGCAAATTCATGTATTTTTTATTCATATTGAAATTAAATAGCGAAATACTGATGCACAAGTTAAACAGTGAGTACGTATTTAAAATTTGTTTGTCGAATTTGTTTTGAAATAAATTGACCTCGTTTATCAACGATTGAATTGCAAACGATATATATTTTAAAATAAACGAACAAATTTTCATTTTCCTTTCCAACGTAATTTGAAATATTATAAATTTTGTAATAAATCTTCTATAAATGAAATTCAGTTAAAAGTATTACATAATTTTTACCCGTGTTATTTATACATATAAACTTGATCATTCTACGAACAATCTCCGTTGTTCTTAAAGACAGTTTTTGAAAAAATTTCATTAACAAAAATTGTTTACGACCAGACGGTGCCATAATATGACAGTAATATATAGATGGAGAGGCGCAGTCTCTTTATAGAAGAGGCAACACAAAGTTATCTGAAGCTCACTTCCATATTTTTAAGTGGAATGAGATATGTATTTTTTGTACCATGTTAATCAATGTAGCTCGTTTGGAATTAACTAAACATCAAGCATACGAAACGTCATATGAGAAAATTTTAGTCTCTCTTTTTTCGACTTATTTTTAAATGTAGACTCGCATCCTGGCCAGTTGTACCACGAGCTCGGAAACACTCTGTATACTACATTTTATACTATTTTATGTAACAGTTACACTACATTCGATGCACTATGTATGTTTGAAATATAATATACAATAGAATTTTGATCGGATAACTAAAGCACACTAGCTTCTTGCTAATATTCTATTCTTATTTGTTCGCATAGTAAGAGAGTATTGTTATAATTTGCATAGAGATTATGCTTGTTATTGCAAAAAAAATGTTAATAATAAGCGAATTTCCGACAAACATCATTACCTGTCAATAAAATTTTTTTATGTCTCTGTAATAATTGCTCGCGTGACGCGGTTAATAATGACTTGAAGTTGGACATAGTCCATGGATTTTTACAAACGGATTGGAAAAATGAGCACGTTAAACATCAAAGTTATTTATTTGTGTGAACGTTTTTTTTTTCCAATTGTCGGAGAGATCGTGTTTCCTTCGAATGACAAATTGTTTCTAACGAGAGTCTATCTAAACGATTTCTATCTGTGAATCAAGCTAAGATCTCTTCGATTCATTGGTTCCTGAGTTCCAAGATGAAGGCAACTCTGTTAAATTCTGTTGAATTCGTTTAAATATTTTCGGAAACTTTCTTCGAGTGATTACCACGCGAAGTTCGCACGGATGTAACCATATGCTGGGTTCACTGGCTCGAATTGTTCGCAAACTGTTCGCAAAACTATTCTCAAGCTCATGTTGTTTGTTTGATTTATGATATTTATGATACTCGAATTTTTATGCTTGTATTTACTAGAAAAGTTATACGATTCGAGGAGAAGGACACGTTTTCAGTTCTATGGTTTTATCAATTGAAACTGATGGTTATTAAAAATCATAAGCACTGCTCTTTCCTTCTGAATTTGATTGACAACGTTGTTTACGTTGTTTTAAAAAGTTTGTCGTTTCCAAAATAAAACTGCAACGTATTAGCTTTTATTTTACTTTTACTATTCATTCAATTCTAAGTTGTGATAATTGTATATATTTCGTATGAAATATATAAAATGTATGAAACATATAAATGGCTTTGGTTAATTTAAGATCCATATTCAATTGGAAAATCGAATGGCACGTTTTAAGTATGTGTATATTAAATAATCGTAGAAGTCAACATCATTTCCACTATTTACATCGCACGCAATACAGTAATTGCATATAGCAGGTATTATTTCGTTCCTAATGAAAAAACATTCTTGCATGACTTGTTGAATAAACATTTGCTTCGAAGTAAGACCAAGATCGGAAATAAATATATTCTTACGTAATAACATTATTAGTCCTATCTTTTTACACACACCGCTAAGAAATACATACTTCTAACAAGCCCCATACGTCTATACATTGACATTAGTTGAACCTTTGGATCATAATGTGAGAATTTTTACAATTGAGAAGATTGTTATTGGAGAAACAGCTCTCATCCGTAAATAATAGACTTTTAGAAAAGCGTGGATTATGCTCTGTTTAATGTAACATGCTCCGACAAAAATTTTATGTCAAAAAACGACACTGTTCATCTCACGAAATTCTTGCACGAAATGACCTTTGTTAGATGAACTTCGCAATAATTTGTAATAACATAGATCTTATTCGCGTATTATGCTTCTCACGCGATCACGCGTGAAATTGTTACTTGAGTCATTCTCCGCAAGGTAGGCATTGCAATTGTAAAATATAGCTTATATAACAGTACGTCTTAAGTCAATTACGAGATATGTATAATACATATTTAATCTAAGCTAATAGAAACGTCGTTTCTATTATATAAAGTCGATAATGTAGTGTAGAAACGCGATTAAGAGGCTGGTTTAATTAACGAAAAGGAGAGAAGAAAAAAAGAAGCGAGAAAGGAAGTAAGGCATGAGATATAGACATAATGATGGATCTGGGACAACGATAGATGCTATTTTCTCTGCATTTAATTGTAAAATATGAGTTATATTACAAATAAAGTGAGATCGAGAACTCATGAAATTCCAGACACTGACACTGTCTTGTTTTGCATTTTACTTGACGTAACACGTTACTTTTTATTATCGTCAGAGAATTTTCCAAATTCCTACGGATATTCAATAAAATAATACATGAAATTCCCCTCTGACTCGCGAGACTTTCGCCCCTTCGATCGCCACGCTTAAAACGAATTTCTTCCTTCTCTCGCGAAAGAATTCCACAAATTTCATTCCGAGTTTTTCGTCGAAAATCTCAGATTACTACCAATATTCGGCCAAAATTCTTCGCTCACTGAAATTCCCTCTGCCACATAAATGTTCCTCGTTTCTCTCGACACCGTGTCTAAAATTCATCTCCTAACACGATTGAAAAATATCTGAAATTCCCCTGAAATTCTCTCTCTTTCTCTCTCTCTTCTCGGACTTGGAATTTTTCAGGACTTAAATTTTCATCATGCTTTCTTTTTTCCTCTCCTCCAACTAGGATCCAGAACCCGCAGAACCATGGACAGACGTGAGAAACGCTTCAAAGTACAGCGATATTTGCGTCCAGAAGGACATGTTCCAGCATCAATTGCGCGGAAGCGAAGACTGCCTCTACTTGAACGTGTACAAACCAATAACGCACCAAGCGCCGAGAATGTCGGTGATGGTGTGGATTCATGGCGGTGCGTTCATAGAAGGATCAGGCGACGACGAAGTCTACGGGCCCGAGTACTTCATGCGAAAAGACGTTGTTTTAGTCGCGATTAATTACAGGCTCGGTGTCTTGGGTAAGTAAGCTGTCATTCGCATCACCTGGTGTTATCTTGTCCCGCATTTTATCAACGGTGCAGAAGTGATCGATGGAATAATAGTAACGTGGTCTAGGAGGAGAAACTATCATTTATCTCGCATAGGTCGGATTATTCCGACTATTGGGTTATTATTGGATTTCATCCGGGGGAAAATGCAGCGAACGAAAACAAAATATACGAAATATCCAAATGAAGATGAAATGTATTCCAATATATCTTTCACGAAAGTTTCGTTACACGTTCGGTTGAATGACAAACATTCAAACTGAAAATTTGATGAAAATGTGTAACGAGTTGATTTGCAAATTAGAGATGTCGCTTATTGATGAATTATTCTTCCGTCACGTTTTCCTTTTTTTTTTTTTTTTTTTACTTGAGTTGATGGTCGTAACGTTTTTGGTCTACAGTGGCATGTAAAAAGGCAGAATGCGCGCAAGAAACAGGTTTACCACTGAAAAGAGAATTCCTGCTTTTCCCGTACAGTACAGTGACCTTATCGCTCAATCAAATGACAAAAGCAATTCCCAAGAAAAATTCAACGTCTTTGCTACAATGTGTTTTATCCGAAAGTCATTTATCACTAATATTTTAGACGTTCCATGCGAAACGAAACTGGTGGGAAAACGTCGAGCGTTAAAACGCAAAAAATGATCAAAGCATAAAAAAATAAATGGATCTTGTTCAAGGATCGTTTAAATTTAAACCATACTTTTTTATTTGATGCTTTTATGCTCAATATTATATGTCAGAGTTTCTATTTTACTAGTTCAAAAAATCAATAAATTCAATTTAACACTATATATTAATTATATATCAATATTAGTTAATAATATAATTAATTATATTATTTTAATCTGTAATATATAATTAAATAAATTTGCTCTTGGCAAAATTGAACTTGAATTTGATCATGTTATAAAGATAAACCAAGAGACAATTCAGATTCTATCAGTAATAATTAATAATAAAGAGATTCTGATATCGGTAATAATTAATAATTAAAAATAATAGCTATGAATAGTTCAGAAAACTTTCAATTATCATAGCAAGTATCAAACTTTACTTTTTAATATTAAAGATTACAAATTAATATCGTCTTTCATTTGTAATCCTCGTATTTCTTGTTGCAGGCTTTCTGAATTTGGAACACGAAGTCGCTACAGGTAATCAAGGTTTAAAGGACCAAGTGATGGCCCTGAAATGGGTACAGGAAAATATCTCGAGCTTTGATGGAGATCCCAACAATGTCACTATATTCGGAGAAAGCGCTGGCGGTGCCTCGGTCCATTACTTAACCATATCTCCATTGTCTCAAGGTACTATTTAAAATACCGTTTCGACGGTTCTATCTGGACATCATTTACACGCAACACACTTGGATAATTACACGTTTAAATTGATCAAACAGCAAGGAATCTTTCTCGGCATGATTGTAAATAAACTTCTAAGGTCAGATGTCTTCCACATCTTCGTTGATCGAAATTGAAAAAAAAAATTGAAACGATAGAAAAGATCTTGGTAAGATTTAATTTGTCTTGTACAGGATTATTCCACAAAGCAATCATACAAAGTGGAGCGGCGCTTTGCCCTTGGGCTTCGATCAAGGAACCGAGCAAGTACGCGTTCCTGCTGGCCGCGGAACTTGGCGAATCTTCCACAGATCCTGAGACTGTAGTCGAGTTTCTGAGAACGATAGATGTACAAAAGCTCGTGGCCACCGAACGTAAGCTTCTCACGCCACAGGTAAGTCCTGTGATAAGGATAGAGAGATAGTTATTACCGAAAACGAGAGTCTCCGGTTGTTTCTAAAGACAAAATCACAGTTTACATTTCTGAGATTGAAAGGCTGGATGAAGGGCAACGTGAAATTGAAAATTTTCTCCTTGCGTATAGAACCATTCCAGAGTGAAAAGTATTTAGAGTTTTCAATTAATGGCGAGAAATATTTAGAATTTTTAATTAATGGTGAATGAAATGTGTTACATTAGAAAATTATTCCTCCTTTTGGAGGGAGAGACAAAATTAAAAACATCTTCTTTTGATAATTCTTAATTTAATTACATTCTTCTCCGTTTCGACTCATTTTTAACTTCGGTGATTATTTTCAGAGGGATATTAGCGTTATTAGCGATAATCCGATTTCAGATGTGTTAATTAGGATTTGGTTCGTTATAGAATTGTTAATTTGATTATGGAACTAGAATGTTCTTTCGTTAATGAATCGTATGTTATAAGCACACACCACATTTCAATACGAATATCATCGTTTTAATCGCAACTGCAGTCAGTTGCAATGTTTCGCAACCAAGTTCCCAATAATTATGGTTTATAATTTAATATGATTTAATAAGAAGGATGGCGCTATGTTGTGATTATAATTATTTATAATTATACAACTTTATCACTTTGATAAGAACCACATTGAAAATTGAATCCTTAAATTGCAGGTAAAGAATAAAGAACCGTGGGTGCTGCAAGAAACATTAATTTCATACAACAGACAGACATAAAGTAAACGATCCAATATGCTAGAAAATTCCGGAACTTATAAAACAGAAAAAAGAATCATTTAGTAAAAAAAAGAAAAAAACCCAACTATGACCGATTCAGAAATCCATGAAACAAACCTCAGGAAATTTCGATCGATGCAGCGATACACGTTTCAATTTTCAATTAGTGTTTCTAATTTCCCAAACAGATTCTCATGATTCCCTACCGAGAAGTTTCATTAAAAAGTATTAGTTATAACGGGGGTGCAATTCAACTTTAAATGAATAATCTGACATCGATTTTTCTGCTGAAAGCAACAGATGTTACCAAACTTGTTCCACCGTTAAACTCTAATATCAAGCATTAATAGTCGCTATAATTTTAATTGCATTACTCAGCTGTTTTATGCGCTATGACGTAACGAACTGAAAATGATAGCTCGTTGAAACTATACCTTGTTTATTAGCTAGTAAAAGATTGTCACATCGCGTTCTTTCTTTCAGATTTATTCTAGTCTCCATGCGTTATCATTAGTTTTATATGTTATAAATTAGTTTAATTTAATTTTAATGAAAAATTTTGTTTTATACTTTTAACTCTTTTTTTCTTTCATGTAGGAACATAGTGCAATTTCAACTAACTCCATCTTCATTAGATTCATTTCGAAATAATTTTCCCATTCTTTAAACGTTTCTAAATATTTTTCAAAAATTATAAAAATGACGTACACATATGTTACATTTATTTCATTAAATATTTCCCAACCAAAGATGTTCTTTCAAATGTATCTTCTATTCTTTAAGTTCGGCTTTTAAAATATATCAGCTACGATCGCGAAAAAAAATAATTAGTTAAATTAATTAACGTCAGTTAAGAAAAATAGTTAGTTAAAGTAAAGATAATCGTTTCTCCAGTGACAGCAAAATTATTTGGTTACTGGGTATCATTAAGCAACGTTCACCGCGATAATAACATATTCAATATTGTGCGAGGAGGAGAAGTAAATTTCACCGTGAAATTTTCGTCAATGTTTGATTAATAGTCGATCGAAACGTCATTTTACATCCAATGGGATGCTTGTGCCAAAAATTTCATATACCCCTTCCGGAAATTAAACTGAAACGTTGCTCTATGTTTCTATGGGTGACTCTTGCAGGAACGTTACGTTCTGTACACAACGTTTGGACCAGGCATCGATGCTAAGTCTCCGAATCCATTTATACCTCAACATCCGGTAGAAATGAGCAAAGCAGGCGTCAAAGTACCTCTTCTTGTCGGTTTCAATGCAAACGAAGGCAGCTTTTTTCTAAACTGTAAGTTCACGTTTCTTGTGTACAAGCACACTATCCCACAGCACACAAAGTTTACACCTTGCAATTTGACAGAATGGCAATGTTTAAATTATTTAATTAGACGGGCAGAATGGACCAGCTGTATTTTTTCTGATGATTCTTTGACCATGATACGAGCTGTGAGTTGAACTCAATACAAAAAAGAGAGAAAGAGAGGGGATGATTCGAAAACAAGATGACATAGAATGATAGCTGAATGCATTTTCAATCAGGATTTTTGATAACTTGCTTGAAGTTGAGTGCTTATTGCTTAGACTGAGTGAGTATAACAATGTGTTTGATTTTGAGTAATTGTGAATATGACTCTTTGCATGACTGTGAATACCTGTGACATCTTGGCTATTTAAGTATTTTGGTGAGTGTAATACAGCGAGTGCTTATGGGTTTAATACACTCTTCTAAACGGGTTTTCATCAAGTCACTTCCATGTATCCTACCACGTTACAACACCTTCTGTTTTCAAGTCAATTTTTTCTTTTTTTAATTTCATTGGATCGTTGCAATTTAAATTGCTACTAAATGCAAGTTTTCATTCTTTCAAATCTTACATTCTTACCATTCAAAAAAATATTACTTAACAATTTGCATGGTAGATGTCCAGAAATTCACAGTAAAGTTTTTGTCTAAATGTTCAAATGTGAATGACTAAATTGTTGGAATGTAGCCACAATGCGTGTACGGAGGATTGAACTAACTTGATTGAGTTTTGTTTAACAAATAACAACTATTGACTTGAACGATTTGTATAAAAATACACTGATTGTAGGTTGACTGTTAGTAAAATTTGTCCAAGTCACAATTTGGAAATTTGCGTCTCTTGAGTCTGTCTATGTAATCTGTTTTTTTTTTTTTCGCTTTGTTTTAACTTTTCTTGCTAGCTTGGTACGCTCAGGATGAACATTGGTGAGTTCCTGTCAAAAAACTGATTTTTCTATCAACGTCATTCTGTCATCCTTCGGAGATACCGAGTCACACGTACCTCCGACCATTGAATGCGAAATAAGCTAAAATTCTGCACATGCTGCACTATTTTAGAGTTCTAATTCAATTCAAATTCTAATTCAAAAGTGACTTTTGCTTACGTTGTCTTTTTAGAGCAATATCTTAGATCAACAATAATTACAATTTTTAAAAAAAGATGTAATTTGCAAGGACATATATACATTTCTTAAGCTATTGAAAAGAGTTAAAAATTCTGAAGCTCAGTATGTTTCCAGCGACGGGACAATATAGCTGCGGCTCTGCGGAAGCTATTCGAAACGTCAATGAAAACTTCGAGCTGGCGATTCCCGAGCAAACGAAGGCCTACTTGAAGAAGGAGGGAATTAGTTCGAGCGACTTGAAACGATTGTATTTCGGCAATGAATCAATTGGGGAGAAAACGATGCAGAAGTATGCGGATTATTTAACCGACATAATGTTCATTAAAGCCATTCACCATATTGTGAATATCCAGATGAAGAATTCCACTCATCCTACGTATTTCTATAAGTTGAGCTACGAAACAAACGAGCCGCTGATTCGAATGTTGTTTAATATCACTCTGCCAGGTAATTCATACTTCAATTAAAATTTTTATGACCTCGAATTATATCCTGACACATAACTAAAAAAAGATTTGTCGTTTCTTTCGTGACAAAAAAAAAAAAAAAAAAGAAACAAGAAAGGTGCAGAGATGCAGAAAGATAAAATAGTTACTCTTATTTTGGCAAATGATGTTTTAAATTACAATTTACCTATTTAATAGTTACTCTTATTTTGGTAAATGATTTTTTAAAAGGTTTTTTTCTAATTTATTCTAGTAAAAATACGACAGAATTTTGATTAAACCTTCGTAACTTCTGAAAGTAGAAAATTCCCTGAAATCTTCTCTATTTATCTCTTAGAAAATTTGTTTCGTATGTAACAATAATTAAATGTAGAAAAAATTGTACTTAAACGTAGATAAAATGTTTCTTCTTCTTTTATCTAATTCAATGATATGATGTTGCATATTTTATTAACTGTTGTTATTTTATTAACTGAAGTATAAATAGATTGTAAATTTCGACATAAAATTGACGTTCGACGTAAGGTCTGACCACTGTGAAATTATCTACTTCAGAAGTTCTACGTTTTCATTCTCAACACATTAAATACCAAAATAAGACAGAAATTATAAACAAGATGTGAAAATAACACATGAAATGTATTATTTCCCAATTTTTAAAGTACATATGCTCCACCGTGTTTTTTATTTATTCACAAACAACAAATTAATGTAATATAAACATCACTAAAAACAACGTATTTCAAAGCTGAAGAACATTATCGAGATCAAATCAATTCTCACTCAAATTTTAACCAATCTTACAATCTACGCATCCTCACCAAAACTTTACGATCATACTCCATAGAGACATATTGCAGGAATTTAAAAAAAAAAGACAGTTTAAGATATTGTTATACTTCAAGAAAGTATCGAAGAAAAGAAAATTATTATTAATATTTTATTGATATTAATTTCGAACAAGATTAGCAAAACTTTGCAACGGTAACTTTCGTCCATTGACGTAAGCTCCAAGTTAGTGAAATCTATGAGAGTCTTTCAAGTATAAACTAGTTGATCAAGAACCCAAGTATCCCCCATTGAAGCTAAAATGAACGAAAATCTGTTTAGGTTGTTAAGCTTGTCGTAACTCCAGCTTAGTCGTACTCTTGGGTCTTTAAACGAACTTTGAAAGCTGCCCCCGAGAAAATCAACCATAAAGAGTCGTCGAAATTAGACTGCCCGTAAAGGATCCAAGGATCAGTCTCGAATTTTTTTGAAAAGTAAAGTTCTTCTTGTATTTGTTTAAAGGAACTACGCACGCGGAGGACTTGCAGTATTTGTTCTATTCGAAATTAGCAAAAAGCGCAGGTATAAAGGAATACGAGGTTGGAAGCGAGGATTTCAGAATTATGGAGTATTTAACTCAAATGTGGACAGACTTCGCGAAAACTGGGTAAATTTTTTTATAAATTTATCACTCAGTATTCTTTTACTCCGTTTAAAAATTCAGGATCAGCTTGAGAAAGTACTTGTACATTTACGAGAAACGTACAAATTGCAAATCTTTCATGCAGAAAATATAGATTTAAATGTAAATCTAACGCTATGTATTATTCATAATTATTTCATATATTGTATTTTCTGCATAAGTTATCAAAATTATCTTTATTAGATTCGTCCACTCTAAGAGCACTTTCGTACGAGGGGACATATATTGTGATAGAAAACATATCAATAGTTTATCATATCAATGTTTACTTCCGTTTCTTTCTCAGAAAACATTTCTTACAAATTCTTTTGCGTAACATTTCTTCAACATCGCGTTCAACGTGGTCTTTCAAATAAAATATTTTCAACGAAAAAATAAATGCACTACAGAGTTATATGAATACCGCATGAATATCTTTTCATGTTTCAATCCCAAACATCTGTTTCATATTAATACCGCGATATACATGTGTATCTCCGTGTGAAAGTGCTTTTAAGCTTATTAAAGATGTATTACATTCCCGAATCAGCATTACTCCAAGTGCTTGTTATATTACCGAAAGATGAAATAAATGAATGAAAGTGGGAAATTTTTATTTTTATTGAAGGAATCCAACACCAAAGATCACGGAGTTGATTCCAACAATTTGGCAACCAATTACGGAAGGAAACGAATATATTTATTTGAATATTGACAAGACGCTTCGAATGGAAAGCAGCAGTAAAGAGGAACTGAGACACAAATGGAAGAAAATTAATAACAAATTGTAACGTGTATTAGATCACAATAATTCAACATTTATAAAACAAAAACATTAAGATAACAATTTATGTTATTCAACCAGATATTATGTTGATCAACGTAGCTGTTCATACATATGCTGTTTTTAATGAAAAAATAAAATACACTTTTTACAAGCTAACACTTCCTTTTTGTATCTTAATCATTGCTCGTTTAATTTAATTTTTTAATAAAAATGTATAATTATACAGAATATCACGAAGTATGCAAAGGGTTGTCATGGGAACAATTGTAAATCAAAATCAATGAAAAAAGTTTAAGATATATAAGGATGTCGTTTTGGCTTATTTTTCAAGCTGCAAGCAATTTATACTAGGAGCATACACGTATCAATGAATCAGTCGATGAACGAATACCAATTACATTACGTCAAATAACAACCTGTTTACTCATCGACCGCGCAAAGTCGACTGACGACATTGCCAGACGTCATCGCGCACGCTACGAATGCAGCACGTGCTGCGCATGCGCAGAACTATCCAGGCCGCGCAATTCCACGAACTAGTTCGATTGCTCGATCTCTTCAAACTTTTGCCAGAAAAGTCACAGAAAATCTTAAGCAAAGCCCAATTAAATCGTTAAATATACACTTTGAAATAAATATGCACTTAAAGATCAGCCCTAATACGAATTGCCGCGCTGTGAAAATCCGCTCGCTCTTGCGAATCTATCCTAAGCTCGCCGGATAAACACGCGAGTAACGTTTGAGATTAGTCAACGCTGACCTGGCTTCGTTTCGTGGCGAGATTTCGTGTTTGTCGCGAACTTCTCGTCATACCGTTCAAAATTATGGGCAGTTAAAAATCACCGGTGAATCACAGTCGAATAAATTCTAAGTGTACAAACGACCGCTCGCACAAAATTTTGGGCCGACTTCGATTTACGATCGCTGTTCCCTTGACCTTTCATCGATCACCTTCGAGGTAAATAAAGGTATCCATAGACATTTTATTTAGTTATCAGCCGTGTGAACGACGATATACACTTCCTCACCTATTATTCAATCATTATTTGACTCACGGTTTTCAGAAGTGTTAAACAAGTCGGAACAATTTTGAGAGATATTTCGTAAACAGCAGCAACTGCAACTGGTTTTTCTTGGAACTGGTAATCAGAGAGTGTGTGATAAGTGTAAAAAGCTATTTCACTTGAAAAATTATTGATACTACGGCGATAAAATTTTTTTGTTCCCCCCTTCCCGAGAGAACATAGAATCAATCCATATTTCTTTTGCGTGGTAACTATAATAGTCCTTCTTCCCTTTTGTAGAAATTCTATTGGAATTCTATATAGAAAGAATGATAAATTGCACAAAACATATTTTTAACGTGCTTCAAGCAGCGAAAATATTAAAAATAAATACTTTATCTAATATGTGATAGCGATTTCTTTTTCTTTTACTTGGTTCAGTTTTTATTGCATCATACTGCTTCTCACAGTTATTTAAATCGCTCTACAAATAAATGGATGATAATATAATTGAATTTTTAATCCAAAAAGCAGATTAATTTACTTTATTCCAGAGTAATTTCGTTTAATACTAAACATACCGGCACTTTGTACACACGTACCGTAACCGATCAAACGACCGGTTATAAAATAAAGGTCGATTTACGAGAGGAATACAGGTAATTGTCAATTTAATATAATAAAACAAAATAATTTTTAGATAATAAGAAAAAAAGTTAATTATATATTTTCATTTTTTTTTTTTTAACGAGAGTTAAGAGAGAAATAGATCAAAAGAAATAACAATAAATGCAGAATTTCAAATCAAATTTTTCAATCCGTCATTTGGTACGTTGGTACATTGGTACCAACCGAATGTTTTTAATCAAACTATAAAGAATTTTATTTTTCATTTTATTAAAGATATGGTTTTGTAAAGATATAATTTTAAATAATGCAAAATGTTTTGTTAATCTTTGCAAAAACATTCTTTTTATTTAAAATTTTATATTCCAGTTGTTTCGTTAAAGCTCATTATTTTCATTATATATATTTTATCTTTATCTTATAAGATAAGACTAATCAAGATAAAACTAATCAATGCAAATAAAATAGGAAATAGTATTCGCTATCCAAAAACTTTATCAGAAATTTATCACGACTGGATCAATATTTGAAATAAAAGTAATAAATAGAATAACAAGTAATAGTTTTTGAAAAAGAGTCACAACATCTTGCATGACCTCAGCTACCATATATGTATGTACATATACGTATGTATATACATTCGTGTCTTATAATTGTTCTTACAGAGGAAGTATAACAACAAACTTGAAACTTGATCGGTTCTAAATAAAACGGTTATTTTTCGTTCAATGCTTGCACATCAAATGCAGGCCAACTTTTAATTTAATTAACAGCAACTAAAGGCAAGAAAAATAAAGGTTTCTCTATTTCAAAAACGAACATTCCCATTTTCTCTGAAATATTGTGCAATTAAAAATCTTCTAAGAGCAGGTAAAAAATTGTATAAATATTTAAAATTTCTTTCGTAGAATTGTTATAAAAAGGAAGAAGGACAACGCTGTCGAGAAAACGAAAAATGCCGATTCTTTTATTTTCTTATTCTCCATTAATTGCTAAAATAATTACTTTGGTCATAAAAGGCAAGAATGTTTATTGCATAAGTGTAACAGAAAAGTAAATAGTATTGATCATTTTCGCGTAATGCTACTTGCAAAAACACTGCTATTAGTTATTCAAAATCCATAAATATTGTTAACAGCAATCGTCAATATTCAAAAGTCTAGTTTTGTCTATACATGTAAATGTTTAATTGTTGAGATTCCAGTAATTTAACAGATTATTCAGTTTATTGAATAAAAAAAAAAAAATGTATGTGTTCCATATTAAAACACGTGAGATTTTCAAACAAGGAAAACCAAAGCTTATAGTCTACACGCAATAGAAAGATATTTTTAGTAGATAAGTTAGCTTCTTTAGAATTTTTTATTTTATTTATTTCATGCTCGACAACCGATGAAATGAGTTATAAATTCAGTTCATTTCGAAAATGAAATTAGAATCGATTTGCATTCGATTTTGAATGTTTCACGTATATTTAAATATTATGTTTACTGCGTTTACTTGTTAGTATTAATTAATTTTTCATTTGGGACATACTCACTCGAGTTCAACTAATATATCAGACACAAATTCTAATTGTTCAACAATTCAAATATTCATTGCTGACTCAATATCATTAATACAATAAATTTTTCAATTCATGCACAGACTCGTGTGTAATTTGTACATATCTTTCATGAATATATTACGTGTATTATATAAAAATCTCATTGATTTTATCTTGCAATACGTGTAGAAATAAAAAAAAAAAGAGTAAATCTCTTTATTTCCCACTTTTTAATATAATTGCTCGTTTTCATGATAATAATAAAAATTATTATCAGTATCATTTAGGACTTAACCTGGATCAAAATGACTGTGGCGCTGCCTTATCTGGACGCTGTTCAAGTAATTCCTGGCGATACCCCTGGCGAAAAATTCAGATTCTTGGCGAATTATATAAAGCAAAAACTGTCCGTGTCCGACGATTTGGAAAAATTAATCGATTACGACAAAATCCCGACAATCCTTGTACCTCTGGTACATATTCAGACGGCCATAATATTAAATAAGGAGGATCCCCAAAACTGGGACGCTTGCTTGGCGATAGTAGAGGCTTTAAAATCCGAGGACAAGATGATCGTGAACAAAGCTTTACATGCCAGCCACTTCTTCGATGGGACTAACAAATTTATCATTAATGATCAGTTCTTTAACAAAAATATATTTCCATATGTTTCCTTGAACACTAGAAGACGAATCATCAAAATTCTAGCCTTTCAGCTGTCATCCAAGAAGAAATTCGATCTCGCTGAAAAATTCTTCTTAGGAGTGGAGTCGCTCTATGGTATCGAGCAAGCGTTACCTTTATTAGTGGCATGTAGCGAGGCTTTCACATATAACACCATCGTGGAGAAGAGGATCGTTCTGAGCCGGCAGCTGGTTAAACGGATCTTCTACAGGAACCCAGACTTAATCGTGCGGTACTTTAAACTAAGTAAGCCAAACCTCGATCCTCTCTCGAGAAACCTTCATCCAGTGAGTATCTACGACTTCAATGATATTCTGGCTCAGTTGGTCAGGAAGAGGCTAAACTCGTTCGTAGAATTGTGCGAGATACACGAGAAAGTTCCGCCGACCGTGACCCTGAACAATAAAACGGCCGAACTGTTCCTGAAGAACGGCAAAAAACACCTGTACGAAAAGCCTCAATTGTACATTAAGATGATTCCTTTGAAGAAGATCAGCAACGAGTGTATGGAGACTATATACCCAAAACTATTCCCCGAGAACATTAGAAACTTCGACACCGATGACATGTTGAAATACTTGTATTACTATCCACGGGACAAGAAAACAGATCTTTTCTTGAAATCTTATCAGCAAGTGTACGGAAGAAATATTCTGGACGAACCAAAGAAGATAACTGTTGAATTGTTGAAGATATTGTCAATCGAGGAACGAACAAAGCAGGCGAAGATCAAGTTAGAGAAAGATTCTGGCTATACTGAGTCCTCGAGTAGCGAAATGTGCCCGGTTAATTGTGTTAATTTCTGGGATTGTTATCTACCTGTTGATACAGTGCTACCACAGTTTAAGAAAGAAATTTCTGAGGAATCGGAGATGAAACTTAGAACGATTATAGCTTGTAAAATGATCTACTGTTGCTACGTGAACAATAATAACGTAGCCCTGCTTGAAGTTTTGACATATTTAAGAAACAGACATTCTAACGAGCAAGCTTGGTTCATATCGCAAATGTTCCAGACTTTGTTAACTTTCTATGATCTTTCCTCTATGGGTAATGAACATTGGTTGATATTGCGAAAGATAATATCAAATGCTCACATGAGAAAAACTTTAACGGCCGACGTCCAAATCAGCGTGTCGATGATCGAGGCAGCTATTCATCATAATATCCTTCAAAATAAAAGTATCGATATTTTAATCGATATACTCGTCGATTTGAAGTGTTTGAGGAAGACAGGCTATTGGAATATCCTCCAGAAGTATCCCCGATATGAGAAAATGTGTCTAGAAAGTTGCATAAACGTCGTTTCGCAGAAATATCATTCTAACCAGACATCCTGGATGGAGGACAGTGTTGGAATCTTGTACGATCTGTGTATTTCGATCTATCAATTCAATCACGTACACAAACGTTCTCGCATAACACCCATGACGATTGCAGACTATCCATGGTTGTTGACAATGGTGGAGAACAACTTGTCTGTGGAGACGCTGGATAAAAGTTATATATATCAGAATATTCAGAATTTATTAATGAAAAACGATTCAACCCTATACGAGCGTTTCTGGCCAGACGACAAAAAAGTCAAAATATTAACGGGTGAAGTTTTGAAGATTCTGAAAAGAAATCCGAGAGAAATTCTAACTAAATGGAGGGATTATCTAAACGCCTGCCAAAATTATTGGGATAAATATCACACCAGAGTATTCATCAGGTCTCTACGCTGGTACAGCGATATCCCAATTAAATTCGCCTTATACTGTGTCCAAGATCTATTCCAGTCGAATGGAATGAGGTCTTTAAACGTATTAGCTACTCTCACTCACGGAGAAACGTTTTCAAATATCATCGAACCATTAATTCCGATGGATATTGTACACCAAGAGGTGGCGGTTAATTACAGAGTCGTTCAGCATATTGCAAATAGCATAAGGTTCACGAATCCACCGGTGTCTCAGACAATATTGTCCAAATTGTGCAACTTGGATCCTTTATTAGTTTTTCCAGTCATCACGAACGTCTGTAAAAGAATCAACGAGAAGGATGTGATATCTTTCGCTGAAATATTATGCACTCAGAAGGTATCCGTTCAAAAGCATGGAATAAGATTGACTAATCTTGTGGCGTCCCGAGTATACACACTTAATTTCCTTTGTACGCAATGGAACTCCAAAATGCATCAGTCGATCCGAAAAATTTTGCTCTCCATAATCAGGAAACTCTTCGCAACGGAACCAGGACCTATCACGTGGTGCCTGTTCTTTGATGCGATCTCCACGCTCACGATTGAATACAACAAAGTGCTCCTCAAATTAATCCCAATGATCGCCTCAACTACCGATGAATACGTGGTCGATTATGTCCAACAACTCGTGGACATAATTAATAAGTTCGAGAAGGCTGGCCTCGGTAGTGAGCAAATCGCGGAATACGTCAGCGACCTGCTGAGCCACATTAACGCGGCCATATGTTTCCTACTGCCCGACGATTTTGTCAAAGACCTCCTTCGAAAATATCTCTTTCATCAAAATTTAAAGATCTCTAAAGCTTCAAGCATGTTTATAATCACATCCCTGCTGCTTCCATCGTCGCAGGGCAAATTTGATCACAGAATGGAGCTCTTCTGCAACGTGTTCAGGCAGGTCATCAGGTCCGGTTGGAACGTGTCGCATCCGAAATATCCCCGTTTCTATCCGGTGAACAATGGTCTCCCCAAGTTCATAAAAGCTGTCTTGAGCATATTTCCTTTCATGAAAGTGGACCAACGAATAATCGACAAACTTTTGGCCACGTTCGTTTCCGTACTCGAGCCTCACATGGAACCCACGTCGTACTTGCTGCTGGTATACTGCAATGAAAAAATGTGCTCGACCACGCCGAGGGAGTTTGGGTTAAAACTGGGCAAAAAGATGAGCGATCTGATCGACATATTCTCCCCGTTCTTTATGTTCTTCATGGCTGATGTTTTATTGCAAATGCCGCTATTGAATTTATTCGATGGCTACGATAAGGACGAGATCGATTTTGAGACAATCGAAGGACTGTTAGAAGTTGGGACTATCTCAGCCGCGTTACTAGCGACGAAACTGTTTAAGTCTGTTAACTCAAAGGAACATCCGGAGAGGTACGACAAGCTGATAAAGAAATTCTTGGAATACGATTCCCTGGCGGTCAAGAGCAGCATCTGTGATATTATTAACAATTCAAGGGACATAGATTAAGTCGCGTTTTGAGATAGACTTATTGAATTGGCACGAACGATGGATCGGTGGTGATCGTCCAGTCATTAACCGCGCGTGCAACTGTTGTTTAATATATTTTATTTAAAGAAATAAAACAAAGAACGACGTAAATGCGATTTTCACGACTGATACTTTTTAAATGAACGATGAGTGGTAGAATGATTTTTATGCATCGACAAGAGTTAAAGAACGATTTGTAAGATTGAATGAAACTCGTGAAATTTTTTTATTCTGTATATATTTTTTTATACTACATGCGTAAGACTCTATTTAAGAAAATACCATTGTGATACATGCATTCGATGATTTGTATGTATACAAGATTTATAATAAAACGTTGTGCAAAAATGTGGCGTAATTTTTCTTGTTTATATTGTCCTATTACATGGCAGAAATCTTATTTTGTTATATTTTTTTTTTTTTATCTTCGATTTTGATGGAAAGACCGGCTTCTAAAACTTTCGTTAAGAATTTATCGCTGGAGATACGTGTATGACGTTACGAGAAAAAGACTTCAAGACCTATGGGCTCAAAATACTCACCCAGAGTATATTTTGAATACATTAAGTTTCGATTCCACTATATCTTTCAATTAATGGTAATAAATTTAAAACAAAAAGAATTAATTTCAACTCGATTCTTCAGCAATTCTTTCGAGGAAATTTCTCGTATTAAATGTTCGTCCATTTTCACATAAATTGTAGACGAAAATAGGTAATACGAGCTTTTTATTTGCTTTTCTTTTTGCTTGCAGGTTTCGTCTCGCATTCACGCGATATGTCGTACGAAGGATTTAATTGCACACTGGAAAGTGGCGAAGTAAAACAAAAGAAGAAAAGCGACTTACACGAGGCGTCGAAACCGGTGATAAAATTTGGACACGGTGCGTATGCAGTAGTTCCTGCTGGAGTATTTGGCCAGCAGGACCATCCGTCGAAAGTCATCCGACAATACGGCTCTGAAAAGCAGAAGAGCAATTTTCATGAAACATCTTCTCGCATTTTAACTTCTTTATCATCTAGAGATAGAATATAGAAATAAATGATGTCGTACGTAATAAACATTTTCCAATTAACTTTTTACAACCCAAATTCTTTTTGTGAATATATATAAAAAGAAAATTTATGCAACTTGTAACCAGCAAATGATGACTTTAATTTGATTTAATAATTTTCAAGAATTTGAATTCCAAAGGAAACACACTGATGTGTAAAGTAACACACAATCAGAGTAAATTAATTTCCTCACTTGAGAAGAAGAGGCATAATAATTTAAATGATTCAAGATGTGTTGAACAAGGTCGGCCCCAGAAAGTAATAATTACACCTTCTAATGGTCCTACGCGATACGTCCCTCGCAATATGTTTTATATTTATTTATGCCGAGAAGAGTTACGATAAAGAAACTTATCGAGCCTTGGAATTGGGAGTCAGGTATGACTATAACAATGTAATATTGAAAGTAACGGAAGACATGAAATTACGATCAAGGGAAATCCGCGGAGAAAATAATAAATTTGAAAGTTTTCATTCTTGGCTCGATGAATTTATTTTTTGCATCACATTTTAGTCCTCACTGTGTTCGATGAGACCAAACAGATTTAATGTTCAAACTTTTCTACTAAAAAGTTATATCAAAAACATGAAACATAAAACTATACGTACTGTGTATGAATTTCAAATTTCACCTTTGTCAATGGACTGCGGATTTTTATGCATTCAATATTGCACAAAATAAACATGATATGAAAAAATATCTATGAAATATCCAAAGTATAATATTTTCTATATACTATTTGTTATGTACCACAAATTTTCTATCGAGGTCTCATTTTCTTTCTCTTTTTTTCAATAACACTCACAAATATATGAATTCGCATAAAAATCCACAGTCTATTTTATCGATGCAAAATTGACATTAATTTATTGTAGACCAAACTTCATGGTAATTTCTATATGATTTCCGTAAATATTTGTTTCGAGGTAAATTGTAGAATTCAAAATAAATATAATTCCAGGATAGATAGAATTTTACGTCGCGGCAGAACGTATTGTCAAAAGGTGCATTGTGTATTTATGACCTTACAAAGTGAGTAATTAATCATAATCTTCTGTAAAAAGCCATGTTGTTAGTGACAACCTATTCACGAACGTAACAGCCTATTCAATCTATTCTTTTTCGTTGTAAACAAACAATAAATAAAACATTTGCGTACTCTCGTTTACAATTGCTTACAAATTTAGTTTTTACGGAAAACTCGTTAACGATTGACGATGACAGATATAGACACGTACAAAATTTACCGTGCGCGTAAATCGTGTAAACGTTAATCCTCCATCGTACACTATAAAGATAATTAAAACCGCAACGGCCAGTTACACTTTCACGTGAAATTGAAAATTACTGATTTATATTAATTTCAACCGCGCCTCTTTTATTTCAAAGAATTTCAATTTTGCAGCGACCGCGAGCAAAATTTACAATCTGAATTAAATGCTTTATAAACCGGTATTCTCTTTGACAATAATTACAGAATCCGCTCTTCAGGCCGAAACTTTCAATTTACAGCCTGTTAAAATACTTTGACATTTAATTGAATCCTTTATTACAATTTCATATAGCGTTTGAAAACGGTCGTTGAAATCGATAGACCAATGTTGGGAATTTTATATAAATTACGATTATCAAATGTCTGACTGCTCAATTTAAACAATATATATAATTATAATAATATAAGGTGTTACAACCGGCCAGGTTATGATTCTACATGTAAAAATAAGTCGAAAAGGAAAGATTAAAATTTTTTCGTATGCTCTGTTTTCGAGAAAATCGTGTTTGAAAATTCATTAAGTATACTCTAAGTATACTCTAATTAAGTATACTCTAATTTAGCCAATTCTAAATTAATTCTGAATGTTTTATGTGCAAAAATAAGTAAAAATTGTAGAATAAAATTTTTCCATTCACAGTTTCTTTTTTTAAAAAAATAAACCAAATATGTTGCCTTAGTGTATATATACTTGGTAAATTTTCAAACTCGAAAACAAAACGGAAAAATTTTGTTCCTTCTTTACACTTAGAATCACATTCTGGCCGATTGTATCACAATTTCGGAAACACCGTGTGTATTATAAACTAAGGTCAAAATGATAATGTTTTAATTACAATAGATAATAACCAAATACGAATAAACAAGATATATTATTCACTTATCTGTAGATGAACAAATCTATATATGTCAAAAAGTAAGGTTTTATTAAAATCTATCGATTTAGTATTTTATAAGTAGAAAACATTCGTTAAAGATATTTGAAAAAGAAAATTGATAATAAAAATGTTGAAAAACATAAAATATTTACGAATAACAAGAGAAATGAAAGATAAAGTATCTACTCTGGTCTAATTTCATTAAGTTATAAATCATGGAAATAATTTCAGGATGTTTATATTTGCAAGAACGAGGAAGCTTTTAAGTTAGTAAAGAACAAGCGAAGAATTATCGACTTCTTTTCCGCTTTCTCCCTTCCTTTTTCACCTTTTAATAAATAAGAAGTCTTGAAGGAGATTGTATGTTTACAGCTAAAACTCGACTGAAAGTAATTTCATCGTCTTTGAAAGATTGAATAAGCTCAACGCTAACAATAAGTGAGATGATTCAACAGGACCTAAATTTTTTTCTCTCTGTATGATTTATTATTAAATTTTCTATAGAATGGTTTCCTTTTATCAGAAAAAAATAAAAAAATAAAAATTGATACAATGTTTTCTTCGTTCAAACTTGAAAAATTGTTGTCTCTACATTCTGAAATAATAAAAGAAATGAATAATTAGAGAAATAGATAATGTCCTAAACTTTAATACAAACTCTGACACCTCTATTTAAAATAAAAGATATATAAATTATTAAAACTGTTAAATACGATTTTTACAAAATTTCTGCATGGCATGTCTTATCAAGGCGAAATCAAGTAGTAATATCAAGGATTAAGACAGCAAGTACAAAAATCATTGAATCATCTAATGAAAATCAATTAATAAACAGAAAATATTTTTTCTTACAAAAAAAAAGTGACGATTAGAAGATGGAATAATAGATTTATTTAAAAATATTCCAAATGACCGATCTAACTATCTGTAATCACATGTAACTTAACTCGATTAACGTAAATAAATAATCCTCCTCTATGCTGTACAAACCATACCATAAGGTAGATCAGTTAGCAGTTTACAACGAACTTGGTAACCGCGTTCACTCGAAATTCTAGCAGTCTCAGCAGGCCAGTACATTCTAAATGAGATCCAAAGGCAGAGCAAAATGGCCTATTCATCTTTCGGGCATACAACGAGTCAGCACTTATCTCACTAGTTAACTATCTTTTTGTCTAACTTTCTAAGTCATTACCCCGAGGCTTTACATTCGAGCAGGGAACAACACGATTCAAAACGATATACATGGTAATACGTATTCCTGATTAATGTGAACGTCACCCGTGCTGCTAATAACTTACATCGCGCACACGGATGCTCTTTCCTTGAGAAATTACCGCTCGAAACTCGCAATTAACGTGGCCAGGAACCCGATTACTTCTCACCATGTGACATGGCCTCCGCCTTGCTTCGAAAAAATAAAAAATGACGCCGAGTCTTGGTGGATCGAGGAAATTTCATTAGGTCACGCGGACTTAATGCTGTACGATTTTTCATTGGCGAACTTCGTTCAAGGAGCTAATATAAAGTAAATGTTTAACGCGATGTGAATTATCGGACGTGCAAAGACGCAGCTTTTTTAGTTTTATTTTATCTGAAGACTATAAGGGAGATACAAGTAGAAAATACTTGGCAAGGAATGGCAACGTCAAGAAATAGTTTTACTATAAAAACCAATAATTGGTATCTCAGTTCGCTATTAACGAAATAAGATTCGCTGAATTTAATCGTATTATTCATTGTTCAGCCCTCTAATTAGGCATCAGAACAAAGCAAATAAGCAGCTTTGGAATTTCAGTTGGAACTAAGGAAAATAAGAAATGCAAACAGGAATAAAAATACGCTTTTTTTCTCCTTATTTCTCAATTTAAAACAGCGGCGACGTGGAAAAGGTTCTCAGCTGTATTACAAATAAAAATTGTTCACTTTACATACCAAACGCGATATTTGACAGTATTGTAGTTAGTACAAAGATATGGGTATAGAAGCATACCGAATAGAAGAAATCAACACAACAAATAAATATTATGGTAGTTGCATAAAATGTTTATCTGGCTGGAAATTTTTGCCAATCGTTGTAATTTGCAAAATAGATTCGCAAATTTTTATGCACTGTTTAAACGTACAAATACTTGCGGAATACATGTAGCATTCGCAAATAGATTTGCAAATAATATGTGTACCACTCATTTTTACAAGTAAAAGTAAACTTTTATTTACTCTTTTTTTTATCACATTCGCGAAGGTATATACTTGCGCAAACATCCGAGTTTAAATAAAAAAATTATCCGAAACAACATTAACGAAGGAAATGAAGGAAACGGGGGAAATGAAGAAAATCGCGGCCAATTTACCGTGCAGAAATAACCGAATTATTCCACGAATCTGCCTAACTTACCTATTTATTAGATTTATGCAAATAACATGTACGTACATTTACATGCTACGTTCACACTTTAAACCAGCTATTCTACGCGATAGAATAACAAAACACACCGCACTGTAATCATACGGAAACAAATAATAGCGTGGGAAAGAAAAGGAGAGCAAAAGTGGAATTTTTTAAAAAATTAACATAGGCCTACAAATGACAAACAAATGTAACAAAGGCTTTATAAATAGCAAAGTAAATAAGGAAAATCTTGACAACGTAGAAGAAATTAATGTCGTTAACTTTTGACCTGTCGGATAATACCGACACTATTTCGTATCCAGTAATATTCGATAAGAGTTAATTGACCCATGAAAGAG